CCCAAGTTCAGAAGTTCCTTCCATCAGAATGGAAAAAAAAAAAGCAAAACAGCTAAACTTGCATCCTTTCACAGTGTTCCAGCCCCATGTGGGGGGAACATCTGTAAATAATAGTTGTGGGGGCCAAGTCATGGTGGCACACACCTATAATCCCAGCACTCAGGAGGCAGAGGCAAGTGAATCTCTGAGTTCAAGGCCAGCCTGGGCTACAGAAAGAAACCCTGTCTTAAAAAAGCCAAAAAGGAAAAAAAAAAAAAAGTCATGAAAAAAAAAAAAAAACCTGGTTCAACAAAAGCATGTATTCTTCATACAGACCTTCAGGGCACTGTATCTCCAATGTGGGGGGAAAGCAACCTGGTGGGTTTACCTAAAGAATTACATCACCCACAGTGCCTTTAAAGCACCTGCACACACAGCTCACCAGCCTCGGGCTCCAGCTCTTAAAGCCTCCACATTCATTTGTTTTAGCAACAAGCTCCTTGCTTGATGGTGTGCTGAGTAAGCCTTTTCAGTCTCTTTCCACAGTAAGATACCACCAAGTCCAGAAGACCTATGGCACCCTCCGTGGCAGACCTCCTGTGTCTGTGTAGAGGTCCTAAAAAAAAAAAGGCGGGGTGCATGGGGTAAGGACACTGGTCTATTCTAGCATTTCCTTCACGTCTTCGTTCCAATAGGAAAGTGCTCACACCTGGGTTCAAAGCAGTTTACAGCTATGAATATATTTCCCGTCTACTCAAAACTCCAGATCAGCAGGTTCTGGACTATCAAGTTCTTTCTTTGGTGACTCTGTAACTGTTAAAAGTATTCGCGCTCTTCAGACAGAAGGTACCTTGCAACAGCAGAGCGAGCAGAACAGGAAAAGCATCATCAGTGGCAAGGGGAAGCGGGTCAAGTGGGGAGAATTGCTGACCGTCTCTGGCATTGGCCACACATGTACACATGCAGGCACTGGGTTTTGGCAGCAGGTGTGTGGGTGGAGCGGCAGGCTGACAATCCTTTCTTTCCCACCAAGATACGTGCTGGGCTCAGCAGGTTATTTTTATTACCAGTTCCCAACCGCCTGTATGTATTAGCTCCCCAGGCAGAGAGCAAGCTATAATTAGAGTTAGTGCTAGGGTATGTCATCGCTATAAATAATATGATCCACATGCATTCAGGGTAGAGTTGCTACTACTCTCACTGGGGTCAGCCAGTTGCCGTAGTCTCTCAAGCCTATCTGCTCATTTCCACTGGAGCCATACACCTCACCAGTCCAGAACAGCCATGAATGATGTATGACCATAGGCAATGCCAACCATCCTCTTAGTATGTAGCTGGTTTGGAACTTTTCAAGGAGTTAGCTGATATGCTGTAGATCCCGATCCCACGTGGCCACGGTAGTTATAGCCCCAAGCAAGCACTTCTCCATCAGCTGCTAGAGCCGTCCAACAATGTGAGGCACAAGCTAATTCAGTGACCTGTTTGATCAAGACCTTGGTACAGACGTGGACGGAAGCAATGCCTTCGTTGGTGGTGCCATTCTCCAGCTAGCTGTAGCCATTATGGCCACTTCATTCTCGGGTCTTAGGAGAAGTGGGGGCCACTTCCATAACTAAGCCTTTTGATCTTGTTTTTACACAGGGTTTCTTGAGAACCAGTGTACTCTGGTTATCCCCAGTTCCTAGATAGTTACTGCAGTCCAGTCCAAACACGAAGACCTTATCACTGTCGGTGACATAGATCACCTCATTGGCTGAGTTGCCAAGGACACATGCTTTCGTAATAGACGCAGTTTCCTGGGGCACCGGCTACCTTCCTACAATCACCTTGACTCTGGTTTCAGGCAGTTCCTACAAATAAGCTGACATCTGCGTTCATTAAATGAATCTCTCACTTTCCCCAATGTCCAATCCTTCCTTAACCTTCAAACCCAGGTCTTTTCTCTCTGTTTCTAAGGGGAACCCAGACACAAGAGGTGGACTCTAGCCCCCACGGATGGTGGCAGAGCAGAGGCCTGCCTCATTTGATGCTTCTGCACTAAATAAAGCTTTCCACTTCTTTCTCATTGTTTTTTTTTTTTAATCAAAATTTCTGGAATTTGTAGATGAAATGTTCATGAAAGGCCTACATGTTAAAGGCATGGCCCCACATCTATAAGGTCTACTGGGGGGGAAGTTAGGTCACTGGTGATGTCCCCTGGAAAGAGGCGGGGACACATCCTTCTCCTCTCTTTCTCTTTGCTTCCTAGCTAGCACAGAGTAAGCACACCTGTCAGCAGTGCAGAGTGCA